TCTTCTATTTTAAGCCCCTAACATGTCATTAAACTCAACTACCACTTTATAAATCAACTTATATCCATATAAACTATCTTTATCTTTCATATCTCTTCATGATTCTTAAAATTAAGAATCATTCCCAATTTTCCATGTTATCCAAACTTTGATTTAACACTTATAACTTCTTATTCACATCTATGACAAGTCAAATTCCATCTCCACATTCATTTATTAACTTTTTTCCAGAAATTTACTTTGAAACTCATTTTCTTTAACTTTCGTAAATCCTTTATGTTTTGATTTTTAAGATAACTTAAGCTTAGTTATTATCTAATGATCAAAATCCAACCTTTAATTCCACAAATAATCAAGAATTCATAAAACTCACCTTTTCTCTTGAAGCTCACGGCTGGAGGAGAAGAAGAAAGAAAGAAAGTTCTGGAGAATTCTCTCCTTTCCCACGTGCTTATTACCCTTTCTAAAGGGAAATAAAATCTTTCCTGAGAAATGACCATAATACCCTTATTACTTCCAAACTTTGTTATTAAATACAACACCAACATTTTTCATTAAAATCCCTAAACTTTTAATCTTTCTGAGATTGGTCACTAAATTACCAAAAATTCCATTTTGGTCATTGACCCGACTTTTGGGATGTTACAGTCTTCCCATATGAAACAACGGCTGTGGGTTGATTGTTAAATGGGGACCAATTCTAAGATGTATAAGCCAATGAATCCTTGTTCTTTTGGAATCTGTTTCTGTTATGTAGAAGAAATTGTGTTGCCGATTTATGTGGCTAATTTTTTTTGTCCTTCTTTCTTCTTACCAGAAATGATGTTGGTACTTTTGGCAAAAGCACTGCCATTACTTCTGCATCTGCACCCTTTTCTGAAAGGTGCTCACTCTCTCCCAATTATGCGTCTTTCTTCAGGCTCATTTAATTCTGGAAGTTGTGTTACGATGTGATTGTTATTGCACCTCAATACACTTCTTTCACTTGGTGTTTTGTTTTTCAATGTTTGCCTGCTTTCATATGTAAAAATTCATCTCTCATGCAGTTAGGCCTATGACTTGTTTGTATCTTTACTTACCTTTGTTTAGGCATGTAGCAACCTTTACAAGTGACTGCAGAAACATGTTCTGACTTTTGCATATAGAAGTATTTGTTTGGTTATATGTGGATTGCAAGTTGGTCAAGCCATTTAGGTTCCAGTCTGTTATGGCTTGCCACTTATCGCCTTTGAATATAGGACGTTTACAGCTTGAAGATTTATGGTTTCCTTCATGTGACAGACTGACAACCTCTGCTATAATAGAAAGAATCCCAAGCAAATGGCCACGTCCAGTGTGGCATCGTCCATGGAAGAACTACAGGGTGAGAATCTATTTCTATACTTCATGGTAGTTGATGTCAGTGGAGTTTGTTGTTGATTTTATGGTCATGTGCAATGGAATAGAATTTTTGCCATCACTTTTTATTTCCACTTGGGGGCACAAGCACACACACAAGCACTTTTGGACACTTCCCCTTTCTTCCATCGAGTTACTTTCTTGTCCATTGTGCTGATTGTGTTTCCTAGTCTTTTGATAAACATGTTTATAACTAAAGCTACATCGAGAATATTATGCACTAATATCACTTTTGTATAATGACAGTCGATTTCATTTGTTGTTTCCTGTTGAATCTCTTTCGTGGTTGCTTCTTTGTCTCCCAGCTGCTATAGATTACTTGACATGTTTAAATGGTTAATGCAGGTAATCAGTGGGCATTTGGGATGGGTTAGATCTGTAGCCTTTGATCCAAGTAACAACTGGTTTTGTTCCGGTTCTGCAGACCGTACAATCAAGGTATATATCGTGCAATTGGAAGTTATCCCTTCTTTCTCATTGTTTTCCCTCTGCTATAATGCAATCTACCAAACGGATATCATTTGAAAAATCCAGTTTTTGAAAATGACTTTTTTATTTTGCTTGTCTTGATTACGGCGCGTTAGATATGGGATGTAGCAAGTGGAAGGCTAAAGCTCACACTGACCGGGCACATTGAACAGATACGAGGTTTGTTTTAAGAAATTTTCTCAGGTTTGAATAGTTTTTATGGGCTAACCATGTTGTGCATAATGAATATCAATCATTGATTCAGAATAATTCGGAATTTATATTTTATTCACAGGCCTTGCTGTCAGTAGCAAACATACGTATATGTTCTCTGCTGGTGATGATAAGCAAGTAAAATGCTGGGATCTTGAACAAAACAAGGTTAGAACTGCATGAACTTATTATTTTGAATATGTTACGAGTAATAAATTAGATTTTTTGGTCCACTATAACTGTTGAAATCGTTCTTGTTATCGGAACTTATAAATTGCTGTTAGGTTATCCGGTCCTACCATGGTCACCTAAGTGGTGTTTATTGCTTGGCTCTTCATCCCACAATCGACATATTGCTAACTGGGGGACGTGATTCTGTCTGTCGGGTATGAGAATTTCAACAAGTGGAAACCCCTCACAAATTGTTGTTTTAATACATTATTTTTAGCTGCATATGTATTTTTATGGTATTTTCTATTTTTTTTTTTTGAGTCATGAAATCTGTTTCATATCTGATAAAACAACGATTTACAGGTATGGGATATTCGCACCAAGATGCAAATTTTTGCACTGTCTGGGCATGATAATACCGTTTGCTCAGTCTTTACACGACCAACTGTACAAAGATGTTTTTCTTTTTTTTTTTCCGCAATACTTTTAACGTGAGAAATTGTTTAATTGTTGAATAATGGAACTTATGCATCTTCTCTTACAGGATCCACAAGTTGTTACCGGCTCTCACGATACAACGATAAAATTCTGGGATCTTAGATATGGTAAATTGAACTTATGTGACATTTTCTTTTTTCTTTCTATATGTCTAATCTTTTGTTCCCCTTATTACATATTGGTTGTTTAATGTCCAGGAAAAACAATGTCAACTCTAACACACCATAAGAAGTCCGTGCGAGCAATGGCACCACATCCGAAAGAGTACGTGCCTCTACACCCTATTTATTAATTTATGCGAAAAACGAAGCTATCCTGTGGTTTTAAATGTTTCTCAACTTTTCTGTATCAGGCATTCTTTTGCATCCGCATCGGCTGACAACATTAAGAAATTCAATCTTCCAAAGGGAGAATTCTTACACAATATGCTGTAAGTGAAAGCCATTTTACTTCCATGCTTGAAGTCCGGACATGTGCTTGTTCGTATTTTTAACGAACTAACTTAGTATCATTGTTTGTGTTTCCGGAACAGCTCTCAGCAGAAGACTATAATTAACACCATGGCTGTCAATGAGGATGGCGTAATGGCCACCGGAGGTATTTATAAAAGACTTCGAATTTTACCGTGTACATGCCTCTGTTAGCCCTAAATATGCAAGTATGGCTTCTAAATCTAATGTTTTACCATGCAAATTGATAAAGGTGACAATGGGAGTTTGTGGTTTTGGGATTGGAGGAGTGGTCACAATTTCCAGCAAGCTCAGACAATCGTACAACCCGGTACATTCTTTTTTCTGGATTCTTTTTCCGCTAGTTCTTGTCGATCGTGGCAATGGGAGGATGATTAACACAATGCGTTGCTTTTATTTCAGGCTCATTGGATAGCGAAGCCGGCATCTACGCTCTCTCGTACGATGTAACCGGTACGAGACTGGTTAGCTGTGAAGCAGACAAGACCATTAAAATGTGGAAAGAAGATGAAACTGCAACTGAACAAACTCATCCTCTTAACTTCAAACCACCGAAGGACATCCGCCGATTCTAGCTGACTTGTCGGTTTGTCCAGTTGGTGACCCAATCATTACAATGCATTTTTTCCGGAATGTAAGATTAGGACAACCTTTTGTTAATCATTATGCTAAACCCAACTTAAGAAACAAAACAGTTGGTTGGTTCCTAGATTAATGCACCTGATACCGATACATTCATCGACCCTATTTTGGTGTTCATTGGTAAGATGATTATAATTCTAAAGCCATTTCCGGCAGTTCAAGAATCTAAAAAGTCGGTCCCCTTTTTTATGACATTAATCCGGTCTATTTTTATAATGTCTTTAATATTGTAATTTAAAATAGAATTAATAAGAGGTAAATTTTAAATTTATACATGAACTTCTAATAAACATTATTTTGAGGAAATCTTCTAATAAACATGTAAAGTTGTTTATGGGCTTTAATTTTATGTAATTGTATAGTTTGATGTAGTTTTTACGAATTATTATTACAATTATATAACATTTTTTTACGCCTATGTATTTCAAACATAAATAATTATGTTAATTTAATATAAAAATAAACAAGTGTATTTATCTTTCAAAATGTTTATAATAAAATAAAAAAAAAAGTTTAACGTGCATAATTGAATAAAACATGAGCTTTTATGTGCATAATTGTACCAAATCAAAATTAATATATTACATTGTATTTCAGGGATAATATTAATTAATAATTTAAACTCGTAAAGATTTAAATTGCAATTTGACTAAAAAGTTAGGGAGTCAACCCCTACCATTGCCAAGACCCATTTAGCTCCATCTCTACACCTATTGGATCAAAATTTATGTACAAATATATAATAATAATCTGAATAACTATATGATCTAATCAATTAGGTTATTATAAGTAAAGAGACTGACTCTTAAATTTAAACTTAGTATAGGGACCGAAACTATAATTTGACCTATATGTTTTTTTTATCAATTGTATAAAATGAAATACTAATGAGATTGGTAATGACAGTTTATGTAATTAGGAAACAAAGGCGAGAGATTATCCAGCGCCAATTTTCATGCAAAGAAACCTACAGAAGCGGCGAACTGCAACAGATGCTCTCTCTCTCCTCGTAACTCTCCCTTTCTCACTTGTGGAATCATTCAAAGTCGATCCAAAATCAAAGCTTTCCCTTTGTTTTAAATTCAATCCCACCATCTTCCCCTGTTTTTTTAATCTGAAAAAAAAAACAAAAAACAAAAAATGGCGTCCGAACTGATTCATAGAAACCAGAAACAACAATCACCAACTCTAACTCCACGAACCAATCCTCCAACCCCTGCCGGAAACTGGAAAACCCCATTCCGTTACATGGCTCAGAAACAGCGTTTCTTCTTTGTTCTTGTCGGGATCGCCATTGCTGCTCTGTTTTTCAACACGTTCCCTTTTTCGACGTCGTTGCTTCAACAACCGAGCGGCGGCGGCGGCTTAGACGTTGGTTTGGTGTCCGAGTCGGGTTCTATGACTCGGAGAGTGCTTTATGAAGCTTACAACGAGGGTTTTCGAGGGAGGAACGTGGCCGGGAAAGTGCCATTGGGGGTGAGGAAGAAGAACATGAGGATTGTAGTTACGGGTGGAGCTGGGTTCGTGGGGAGCCACCTTGTGGACCGTTTGATCGCGAGAGGTGATAGTGTGATCGTTGTCGATAATTTCTTTACCGGACGGAAAGAGAATTTGATGCACCACTTTGGGAATCCGAGGTTTGAGCTCATCAGACATGATGTTGTGGAACCCATTCTGTTGGAAGTTGATGAAATCTATCACTTGGCTTGCCCTGCTTCCCCTGTTCATTACAAGTTCAATCCTGTCAAGACCATTATATCCTTTTCTTCATAATAGATATACATTTACTAAACTGAATTTAAAGGTTCGACTCAACTTAAAAATCAATTCATTAAATATAATTTTTTTAGTTATTCAAGTCATATTTTATAACTTAAATTTTATTTGATTTTTTTAATCAAATCGAATTTATAAAATTACAAGTCGAATCAATTTTTTTTTTAATTTTTTAATCAAATTTTACTCTATCCTTCCTCTTGTACATAGGTCACTGGTTTATAACCATGGTATCGCTTGTACTAGTGATCTCTTACAACATGCATGAAAGAAATATTGGTTTAGACATATACCCAAAGACAAATAAAATATAAACTTAGGTTCTGTTTACTGTATTTAACATAGCATTAGATTTATCGAGTAAATTGACTAGGTTTCAAGTCGAGTTCTGCTAGAATATCTAAATTTGGATTTTTAGAATTTTAAATCATTTATATTTATGATAATTTTGGGTTCAGTTATTTTGAATTTTGATTAATTCATTTAGGGTTAGACTGGTTTAAGGTCAAATTATTTTGAGTTTGAGTTGATTTAGGTTTTAGTTTTTTTTTCTTCAAATTGAGTCGTTAAGAATTTATATAATTTCAACTTCACTTCAACCTCATATCATTTCAAGTTGTTTAAGATGTAGCTCATGTCATTTTAAGTTATTTAAGATGTGGGTCATTTATGTTTCTATTAGTTTAAATTTTAGTCACTTAAAATTCAAATTAGATAGATTTAAGTTGTTGGTTCTATAATGTTTATATCGAATTGAATCTAATTTCGATTTGAATCGATTGGTTTGAATTTTTGGATTCTTATTAAAATCGATAGGTCTACATAATATATACATTGATTCTGAGTGTGGTGTAATTTGGAATCCTTGATTGTAATGGGATGGATCCACAAGACGAATGTGGTAGGAACATTGAACATGCTAGGGCTTGCAAAAAGAGTTGGTGCCCGTTTCTTGCTAACCAGCACCAGTGAGGTCTATGGTGATCCTTTGCAGCATCCCCAGGTTGAGACCTATTGGGGCAATGTCAATCCCATTGGTTAGTTCATTCTCTCTTTATATATACACACACGAAAAAAATCGGAATCCGAGATAACTCGAAATATTTGCTTAACATGTTTTGATACGTCGATAGGCGTACGGAGTTGCTACGATGAGGGCAAACGGACTGCAGAGACCTTGACCATGGACTACCATAGAAGCCTTGGCATTGAGGTTTGTATCATATTCTCTGAAATTTGGATTTGAGTACGAGAGTAAGAACCGGAGTGACATAATCTGTTCAACTTGATTCAACAGGTGAGAATTGCTCGGATTTTTAACACGTACGGACCGCGAATGTGCATCGATGATGGTCGGGTTGTCAGCAACTTTGTAGCCCAAGCATTAAGGAAAGAGCCGATGACTGTCTATGGTGATGGAAAGCAAACTAGGAGTTTCCAATATGTTTCAGACCTAGTAAAAAAAGCTTGTCTCACATAACATTTACGGTGCCTTAAATTTCATCATCTGATTTACTCACGGTATAATGCAATTTGATATTTATTTACATGCTAGGTGGAGGGTCTAATACGGTTGATGGAAGGTGATCACGTAGGTCCTTTCAATCTGGGAAACCCCGGCGAATTCACCATGCTCGAACTCGCCGAGGTAAAATTAAAACCCGAAAAATCTTTGTTTTTCATCAAAACACTCGATGGATTACTTTGTGCCAGACGTATACCGGGACAACTCCGCTAAGGGTATTCGACATTGTCAATGCAGGTGGTACAGGAAGCAATAGATCCGAATGCGAAAATAGAATTCAAACCAAACACAGAAGACGATCCACACAAGAGGAAACCGGACATCTCAAAGGCCAAACAGCTTCTTGGTTGGGAACCGACCATTTCCCTACGCAAGGGACTTCCATTAATGGTGAATGATTTCAGGCAAAGAATCTTTGGTAACCCAAAGACAGTTCTTGTCGGAGGTGGTGCAACGGCCTAATAACCATACTTGTTATTACATTATTATTAGATAAAACATTTTTGGATCTTAGCTTATATTATATTTTACTTGTCAGACTTATGTATGGACGTGAGAGTACGTTTATGAGTTTAAATATTTAAAAAAATTAAATATATTTATGTCGGGTACATATCGTATATATTCGTATCGAATAGGTTCGTTTTCGAGTGAAATAGCATGGTTTGGTGACTAGTGCAAGGGGAGTATAAGGGGCTGCTTTTGCCACCCTTGTTCCATTAATCCTTCTATAGCGGAATTGTTGCTTGATGACTTTGCATTTTTGTAAATGGCATACAGAAAAAGCTGTGCTGTTCCAAGTAGGAAACCTATCCCATTTGGTACCTATAAACAAACAGATAGAAAGATAGATAGATAATTAAATAAATATAAGAGTATCTTTATGAATTCCAAAATCAGTATGTGACATAATTTTTCTTGGTTTCATGATTCTTTTGAGTGTTCGAATTTTAATTTGATTGACGTTGTTCTAAAGATTAAGGTTGAATTGTAATATCATCTTCTAATTTAAGGAGGTAACGATTTCTGTTTGATTTAGACATTTTATAAATAAAAGGATAAAGTATACTGGTTATTGAATTTTTAAAAATTATAAAATGATTATTAAATTTATTAAATTATTATAAAACGATCATTAATTTTATCGAATTATTATAAAATGGTCATTAAATTTATCCAACTTTTACACTTATATGATATTACAATGATCATTTTATAATTATTTGATAAGTTTAATATATTTTATAATTTCTTGAAGATTTAATGATAAAAACAATTATTTAAGCATAGTTCAATAAATTTTGACTCGAAACAGAGGCGAAACTATTACAGGACTAGAGGGGGCCATGCCCCCAACCCCAATTTTTTTAGGGTAAAGTACACATTTAGTACTTAAACTATTACTTTTGTTCTATTTTAGTGCATAAATTTTCATTTGTTTCAAAATCATACCTAACGTTTATTTTTTGTTTTATTTAGTACTCCGCTGTTAAAAATTAAGGTACTAAAATTAAACAAAAAGTAAACGTTAGGTATGATTTTGAAAAAAATGAAAGTTTAGGTACTAAAATGGAACAAAAGTGATAGTTTAGGTACTAAACTTGTAATTTACCCTTTTTAATATATATATTTATTTATTTATTTATCGTCCGGATCCATTTACACAATGTAAAACTCTTCAGTTTAGATAAATTTAAGTCTATTGGATGGGTGTAAATAGAGATTGGCTCATTGTTTTTTCCCCAGTGAATATCTTCTCGTTTCCTACTGTTAATCTCATCTATATATATATTGGTATAATCATTGATATCTAATTTATTAATTGATTAATCCGAATAGGGTGTTGCAGAGGTTAGAGCGACCCTCCCAACACAATTTGCTCCATTCGCAAACGCCAGAAATTGAATCTCTAACCTTGTTAAAGGGTTTAGTGTCTCATCTCATTAGACCAACTTATTATTGATATATACTTGTATTTATTAAATTCTTAAATTGGTCCCTTAAAAATGTATATAATAAGTTATTAAATTTAGTTATAAAAATTTTATATTTCCTTAGAATTTGAAGTTTTAAAATTTAGCTATTATTTATTAAAAAGAGTTAACATTCGTTTATTATTATTGTTATTTTATTTTTAAATAAACGAAAATATATTATTTTTGTTATTTCTAATTTTAAGATACAAATTTTTTTTTGGTTTAATTGTTAATCTTCTTTGAGTTGAGGATTTCAATCAAATTATTAAATATTCAAATTTTAATTTCATTTCAATTGAAGGTAGTAAAATATTTTAGCTAATGTATGCATTTTTGAAAATGGCCCTCAATAAATAATGTTGAGTTCCGCTACTAATTCGAAAGATAAATTTTTATTTTATTTTAATATTAAAGATTATTTTTATAATTGAAAAATTATAGATGATAGAAATCTTACCCAAGGAAGAAATCATGCACAAGCAAAGAAGGAAAAAGGAGAGGGCAAATGGCATGGACTCCACACTTCTGGTTCTCACCACCGTTTTCTGAAATAACAAATTACGATTAGAATTGAATAATATAATTAAAGATATTTAATTATATTGCACAAACTAAACGACTTCAGTGATTAAACGATTATTATTCTTTACGGTCTCAGGTTTAAGCACCACATATGCAGAAGTATATGAGTGTTTATTGTTGGATGGTTAAAAATCTTTAAATATATATTATCTTGTATTCATCTCAGATTAATAAAAAATACATCCAATTCAACATAACCTGTAAATTACGATAGTTATTAAACATATCATAATTATATTATTATATCCAATTACACTGAAATCTAATTACTCAATAACTTTCAAAATATATCTATGTTTAATTTCTGTTATATAAATGTGCCCCGAGTATCATCAAGTTTTGTAATAGAAATCTCACTTTAAAAAGATGACAATGGGATGGATTTCTGGTCAATCTAACAAAACTTGAGAAGCGTATAATTTTTTTTTTGAATCTGACTCAATTCGAGTTTAGAGATTTTCTATTTAATCTAAAATTCGATCTAAATTTTATAGTAAAAACTTACATCTGATTTGATTCGACATGAATATATATTTTTTATTTAATGAAGTAGGGATCTAATTGAAAAAAGATATATATAGAAGGGTATTATAATAATTATTCATAGATATACATAAGAAAATACTATTATTTTGGGCCATGTCAAAGATATTTTACCATAAACTTTAGACTCTAAATCTTAATATTTTAAATATGATCGTATCAGGTCGAGTCAAGTCAAAATCTATCATATTCGGATCAAATTGGTATCCCTATCTAACATAGGTGCTTTAATTAGGGAAAAGAACACTCGAATATCAAATAGTATACTAATTTAAAGAAGAATATCAAATAGTATACTAATTTAAAGAAAGCTGCAGGTCCAAGTCATGAAAAGTTCATACCATGACAGCAAAAGGTGAGCCATTTATGATGATCTTAAGACCACAACCCATGAACCCTATTGCTCCAATCCGAGTTTCCCCTTCCAATGCTAACTGAGTCACAACAATGGCGGCTGTTAGAAAACCCACATCCACTATCCCTACCAATATCCCTGTCTTAACCTGCACCCCAACAAAGTACAACAAAACTGAAACTTGTCCAAAATCAGGGTTTGTTCTTTCAACTTAATCCCTATTACCTTCATGTTTTTCGGAACATAAACGAGGAACAAAACCACATAAACAGCTTCGACAAAGATGCCAAAGCCGTTAAATGTGGCGACGAGGATTCCTCCAGGCTTAGTGATCCCATAGTAAGTCCATAAACTCGAGTTCAACAATGTGCAAACGTAAGGAAGGCTCTCGAAATCTTCGGTCGATCTGCGTTTTAATCTTTTATTATTCTCCGAAAACGTTGCGCTGCAAATGTAAGAAAGAATCAGAGTAACAATAACGTCTCAATATCTTACGTAAAAAAAGAAGAAAGAAACACAAAAATCGAGTAGTTTAATCTTACATTGGAGAAAGAAAAAACAGAACCAACATTGCCTGTGTGAACAAAAAAAACACTTTAGACTGCCATGATCATATACATATATATAGATGTTTTGAGCCATTACCTATAACACCCACAAAGAAACTCAAGCCAACTTCCATTGTTTAGTGAAAATGGAAATTGAAAATTTTAAATATGTTTGAGAAGAAAAGAGAGAACTACTTAGAGTACTTTATATGTAGATAGATTAATTACTAAATTTAAACATTTAATAAATATTTATTTTTTAAAAAATTAAATAATTTGATCAGAATTCTATGAAAGAAAGTATCACCATTCCTTGTAGACCCTACATTTTATGTTTCATATGATGTTTTGGATTGTTCTATTGATATTTATTGGTTTCAAGTTAAAAAGTAGTGGTTGATATATGTGGCCAAAATAAAATAAATGATGCATAACTCTTGCAACTTGCAAGCATATAAGGTAATGGAAGGTACAAATGATTTATTTAGATTAATTATCAATATTTGATTTATTAACTAATTAATTTAAATAGAATACTATAAAGATAATTTCTTTAATCCAATTTATTTCATAAACAAAATCAAGATTTAAACAATTTATCTTGTTTAAAGAATTTAATATTTCGTCCCATTAAATTAATTTGTTGTTAGTTTAAAACACTAGAAAAAGGTATAATTATGTTGATTTTTTTTGTTCATGTAGGGTGTAAAAAAATTATTTTTTAATTAAAGTGCTTGTTATAGTACCTGATGAAAGTCACTTGTACCATATGGCTATCCCTGTTATCATGAAGTATTAAGTTTGAAGAAAACGTTATATACTTCAGATGACTTCTGAAAGTCATTATATGTTCCAGGTGACTTCTAATAGGTATTGTAACAAACACCTCACTTAAAAAAAATCATACATTCTATATGATTATATTTTTCTAACGCTTTATTCAAAAGTTTTATCCCTTAAGAATGATTTAAATACTTAGATAAGAATAATTTAAATACAACATAAAATATAAATATGTAAAGATTTATATAGAATAAATTATTAATTTATTTTAGACTATAATTTAACGTTATATATATAGAAAATGGATTTCTTTTCAATACCATTGAATATTTGTGAACCGAGGAATACAATTAAATTGAGATTTACTGTATGGTCCAAAGTTAATGATCAAATCCCATGATGTATTATTGATCCTTACTTGGACCACTGTAACTTGAAGAAAAGAACAAAACAATTCAAATGATCTAATTTAACAAGGTTCGATAACTCTTTTTTTTTTTATAAATTATAAATCTAATCTTACCTAGAGGGGAGGAGAAGGAAGGAGAGTGCTTCTAGAGGATCTAAAATCTATAACCTAAAGAATACGAAGGAATAAAAATAGACAACTTAATTAACCGACTAAACATGTTTGCTCGAAAAGATGTGATAACTATGCACGTAAGTTAAAGAAATATATTATTTCTATGAATAAGAAATCGACCAGTGAACTATTTAAATGAACCACCAATAAACATACCTGTTGGAATGAAATTAACATGGGCTAAGTTACTATAGAATCTAGGATGACTCCAAAATTTGAAGGCTAGACCTATAGTCGTTCCAAGATGGATCAAAAGAGGATGGATGGGTCGTTCTTCTAAAATTTATATTTTTAAATATATTTTTTATATTTTATATTAAAAATCTATTTTCGTAGTCTAAAATTTGATTAATTCAATCTCTTAAAATTCCACTAGATGGCGAACCAAATACAACTCTTCATGGACCTAGCAAGATCCCTGTAGCGAATGAAGTTGTAGAGACAAGTACATCGACATTGGAAGCCTTGCGTTTCTTTCTCCTAAGGGCTCCCGCATAGTTAACATTCTCCAAAGAAATATTATCTTGGACAACAACCTTAAGTTCTACGTGTATTCTTTTATATCATTAATGTTGCGGAAGACGGCTATCGGATAGAGCAAAATCGCAACTGATAATTTGAGAAAATAAAAATAAAGATAAAAGAGACACAAAATTTACGTGGAAAACCCCTAAAAATTTAGGGTAAAAACCACGGGCAACGATAGAAGAATTTCACTATGAGAAAATAGGAATTACAACCTCTCTCGATCTACCAAGGAGAAAACAATGATAATTCTCTCTAGATAAAAAGGATAAAACAACTATCAAGAAACTCTCTAAAATCTCTCTAGTATTGGAAGAAAGCTAGAATGTTTTGGGATGATTTTGAAGCTATATGAGCTAGGGTATTTATAATTGAAACTTAAGGACTAATCTTATAAATACCCTAAATGACAATGACTAAAATTAATTATCCCATTACCCAATTTCAACAAAAATTAGATGCCTAATTTTTTACTTTGACAAAGCACCATTTGGTGCCTAAATTATTTGACTTTTAACAATTAACTCTTATATAAATTATGTTGGATTATATATTACAAATATGGTAAATTATGTTGGATTATATATTACAAATATGGTGTTAGCTCAGGTGGTTTCATTCAATCATTTAAATAATTAAGTGGTAATAAATAGTTTACCCTTTTAATATTAGAAAAAGTTGACGTATCAATTAGATATAAATTGCCAAGTTTAGGGGCTGAAGTATACCTTTACCCCAAAAATATCAACTAAGAGGACAATTACATAGCGACTTTACTCACAATTTCAAACAAAAGGAAAAAAAAATAGAAATAAATTGAATCTCTTTTCTCTGCTCTTTCCTTTCTTGTTTTGGCTCTGGGATTTTTTTTAAAAAAAGCTCCGAAAAATGAGCAGTGAAGAAGCAAAAAGAAGCATCACCGGAGCACTGACGGTGAAACCGACATCCGAAGAACGGAAGCATTCTCCGGCGCTTACTGCAGAGTCGACTACTTCACCGGCGAGAAAAGTCGTCATCAAAAGCGCCGACATGAAAGACGACATGCAAAAAGAAGCTGTCAATATTGCCATTTCCGTTAGCTCTCTTTCTTTATAAAACTTCCATTTTTTACTCGATTTTAATGGGTTTTTTTTTAATTCGATTTCGTTTCTGGGTTTTGTTCATTTGATCTTGGTTTATCAGTAACTATCATAAATTTGTTAACTCTTTCGTGTTTTTCTTCTTCTATTTCCTGGGTCTTCGATTAGGCATTTGAGAACAACAGTGTAGAGAAAGATGTGGCGGAGCATATAAAGAAGGAATTTGATAAGAAGCATGGACCCACTTGGCATTGCATTGTTGGTCGCAATTTCGGTAACCCAAATTCCCATTTTGATTATCTATTTTGATACAAACAAGTTCAATTTTTAAGCAAAACACTTGCTACAAATTAGTTTCGTTCAAGTAATGTTTCTGTTTTAGATGAAATCAAAACAGATCTAAGCTTGAAAGAGATTTAATTCCCATTTACTTTATCTGTTTCTGGAGTTATATTGTAATTGTTTCTTCGTTGCTATGGAATTTCCTGGTTTAGATCAACAAGTAATCTATTAGATTGATTGCTTTTGCTTAAGGTGAGTACTTCAATTTTTTGTCTCAAAACTTTATCTGGTTATTCTATGAATGATTAGTAACTTTCGTGTTCGACCTAGTGTCTCAGCTCCAGTGGCACCTGTTCGAACAAATTAATGCCTAATCTGTCTGTCTGGATTTCAATCCTCATTTATCTTTTGTTGTTATATTTATTTCATAGAGCCGGTTTCATTAGGGGTGTCATTATAGTCGACTATGTGTGGATTCAGTCCGATGGGGTAATAATAGTTCAGCAATGTGATTAACAACCTATGTGATATATGTTTTTCTATTGAACAAGAAAGTGGTTGGAACTTGGAACTTTCGACTTAAACATCCCAAGCAAAAAACTCAGAATTTGTAAAAGAAGGGGTGGAATTCATGGGATGGAAGAGTGCTACTAGGTTAAATAATCATTACTACATTACTAAATAAACACATTATTTCTCCCAAATCAAGATTCGAGAAAGGTGAGGAGAGAAGGGGGGAGGGAATTCATTACTATATTATTAAAAGAACACATTATTTCTTCCGAGATGAAAGAAAAGATAGGCAACCGATATAAGTGAAATGTATATTACCCAAATATGGAGCATGTAACAATACTATGTTTCGAAAGAGGGAGGTCTAATTTTTCTTATATACCACAAAATTTTATCTGCTATAATTTTGGGAATGCATCGGTAGTTCAACCAAATCATACACTTTCTTGCTCGTTCCAGATTCCATGGATTGTATGTTAGACGTTATAATCATCGATGTAGGCTGTCTCATGGTATACATCCTTAGTTCTCATATGTTAAATATCCGTACGTATAAACTTGGACTGATTGTGCTACACATCCTTTGTTCTCATTTACATTAATCATTTCAATTGTATTAGTGGCTGTTTTGCTCACATTGGTTCTCGGTAATCTACATCCATAAAGTGAATTCGGAGTTATAGTGTTTGTACCATATGCATAGATTAGAACATTTTCTTTTGGATATCTGTGATGAAAATTTCCTTCGAGTTTTCGGTCTTTTGCACATAGTTGAAATCTAATTAAAATGAAACTTCTTTCCACACCACAAAACCATGTTGCATTAATTTTCATTTCTTTTACTTCGATGCAGGCTCGTACGTAACTCACGAGACAAACCACTTTGTTTATTTTTATTTAGACCAGAAAGCGGTTTTGCTCTTCAAATCGGGTTAATCATGTTTGTTGTAACGGTGAAGAGTGGTGATCATTTTGATCTTGGATATCAAGAGGCTTTTACGTATCCCTGTTAGAAACGGTATGTCTTAACCGAAGCACGTTTGTTTGTATGTCAATCCTCTATCCTAAACTTCTTGCGTCTAACGTGTATATTTTGTTTCCATCTGAACTTGAACTTGAACCATGGATGTCAATTACAGTCTTTTGGTTACAGTTTCTTGGGTGTTGCTCTATGATAATTGTTAAGTTGTTTCCTTGTATCATTTGGGTCTGTTATTTGAATCTCTGTATGCATAAAAACTATTCGCTCTAAAACCAAAGTGAATTTAGATAAAATTAAGGGTAAGCTACATGTTTAGTATCCGACCTATCACTTTTACTTGTTTTGGTCACACAATTATTTCTTTTTTCAAAATCATACCTAATGTTATGTTTTGGTTTTATTTTGGTTACCTTTTATTAAAAAAATAACAAAATTGTTGATGTGAGACATGGCATTATCTTATGATAAACTGTCAGTTTTATTGTTAATATTTAACGGTGGATGATTAAAATGGAACTAAAATTAAACGTTAGAAATGATTTAGAAAAGAAATAGTTAAGGGTCCAAAATATAACAAAAGTGATAGTTGAAATACTAAATCCTAAAATTAAACGAGGTGTTCTATGCTGATTGCACCTAGGTCTATACGGGGTGTGTGCATGTCCAATTCACATTGATTTATATTTTCTGTTTTTATAATTTTATTTTAGTCTACCCAAAATAAAAGAATAAACTATAAGTTTGGTGTCATTTGTTTTATTTTTTTCAGTTTTGATCATCGAATTATAAAAAGAAATTATGTTACGATACTGAATCCTTAGTTTTCTTCAAAATAAATTTATATATATTGTTTTCATGAACATTTGTAATTTTCTATAATCTTTATATGAATTTTAAAATTTCTTATAATTTTTATGTCTGTTTTCTAATTTATATGATTTATCTGTTTTGTGGACCATGATGGTGAAAAAGAGCTGGTAATGCTCTGTATTTACATATAAAAATTTAATATAATGATTTGGATATTTTATTTTTTTAGTAAATAATTACAATATAATTTATTTAAAATAAAACTATTTTAAAAAATTAAATCAATTTATTTTTAATATTTACTTACTGTTGTCCAAGTTATTAGACAGCAAGGTTCACTATGGGAGTAAATGTACTAATCTCGTACTTTTTATTCACAACGTCAAAATTTAAACTCTTATCTTTATTTAAGAGATTTAATATTTTATCTTACTAAAAACTAAATCAATTAATTGTTGATAAGTTAATTTTAATATTAAGTGATAAGTAGCTACCCATAACTTATCTTATTCAACGCAAAAAATAAATAAAGATTTTCTTTTTCGATAGTTTATCAAATACACCTTTGATTTTTACACTATAATTGTATTTATATGATATATTTTTTTTTAAAATATAGACACATTAATTAATAATGTTATAAAAAATTTATCATATTTCTTTATTAACGATACTTTTTAATATTTTATTATTATTTTTCAAGAATATGGATAGTGGCACATAGAAAAGTATAAGATTCCATGGACTATGGTCCTAATTCCTGACTTTTTTATGAGAATTTATGAGAATTAATTCTCAAAATGAGGTTATTAAGGTAAAAGTTTCATTATGGATGGATCAATATATTAATTCGATTTGGCCCGTATAAGTTTGATCTTAGAGAGAATTTTTTGTAATTCAAATCACACAATACAATGTGAATCACTATTTTATAATTAACATCTTTATTCAAAAATTATATGTCGAATATTTGAATTCAATTTGAATTAAAGAAGTCGGATTTGAAAATTCATTGGCTCAAGTTCTAACTATTCATAAGTATTCATCAGCCTATTTCTATATAAAAAAACGGATTTTTAATACATAAAAAAATTAACTAAACGATCATAAAATTGAAGGGTTATTAGAAGAAATATAGGAAAAATGAAGTCCTTAATGACAAATAGTAGTATGTTTTCTTATAGGGACCAACATTGTTTGTCGGACTAAAAGTACTAAATCTTCATTCCCCCTCACAACAGAGCAACAGTTATGAAACATTGTCGTTTTGGTACATAACAAACACTTATTGATTGTCCCAATAAAAAATGATATCACACTATTTAATTTTAAAATAATATTTAATAATTTTAGATATATATAATTACTTATTTTTTAAGTATTTATATTTATGAAAAAAATAAAATAAAATATTATTTATTAAACGTGTTATTATTTTATGTACTGTAGTAGAAATAATATTTATGATTATTTAACATATTTAAATGATTTTAAATACTTAATCTTGAATAGTTGTTTTTAATTTTTAAATCTTAAATTTAAACATTAGAGCATACAATCTAAAATATATAATCTTAAATTTTAAGTCTTAAATAAAATACATAAAACATGTGATGATATTAGAACCCTAATTATGAAATATATTTTTTCACTGTCAATCTATAAAATAACAATTTTTATTAAATTCAGTGATAAACATATAATATATATATTTAAAAAAAATTTATTATAAATAATATAAAATAAAATAAAAATGTAGACGTACATGTATAAAAAAAGTAGTGGAATCTGAGCAGAGAAGGGAATAATCCAAAATCCTTTTGCCTTCATTCCAGGAACAGTGAAACAAAACGACAGAAGATTAGACATTTTCATTACAAAATTAGCAAAACACAACATTGGAAAACACTACAGTTTAAACAAAACCATTCTTCTTCCGTTCATGTCGGCTCGTTTTTGTTTTTCAATAACCAGAACCACCGGCTCGGCTTCTTCCAGTTTCACGGCGGCGACGAGAAGCTGAAGAAGAAGGTTTCATGGCTGCAAAAGAACAGTTTGGTTTCTTTAAAGTCTCTTCTTCGTCCATTAGAATTTGCCTGCACCTACACTCCACGCTGCAAAAACCCCTATCTCCTCTACCAAAATACAAGAACACCCAGATCAGTTAAACCAAAAATCTGGGGGAAAATTAAACATAAGAAGAAGGAAAGGAAATAAAAGAACTTACTGGTACATATATGTCTTGTGCAGGTAAGAGGTTTTGTTTGCAAAGGAAGCATTGTTGAAGAAAAGGAGGAACTGCGTAGTTTGACGGTGGATTTATAAAAGAAACTTTGCCGCTGGTGGCGGTGGTAATTAGCATGCTTGTTTTGCTGATAACCTGTGGGTTCTTTTGACTAATTATATTACTACTACTATTTTGATTTTCCAAAACTACGCTTAATCCCACCATTATTTCATTCTTTTTTTTTCCAATAATTTTTATATATGTTGAAAATTTAGTATGAAATATGGTGGTGGTGGAGAGCTTAAGGAGACGGAGTGTTTGGTTGATGAGAAAACGAAAAGATTTTCGAGGAAAATAAATAGAAAGAGAGAGAGAGGAGGGTGGGCCCCTCACTGCTATAAAAGGAGCAGTAACGGAGGACGATTTAGCGTCGCCAACGATTTGACTTGTACTGCTATTATCTGCCACGTGTCTCTCTTCTTTAGTTTCCATTTCATTTTCTTTGTTTTCACCCTTGTTTTCATCTTCTTTTGTTTGTTTCTGCTAAATAATAATAATCATCATCATCATTTTTTTCATTATATTAGATTATTGATTTTATACAATTTTTTTTAATAAAATTAGTTAGTTTTATTAAAAATAGAAAATATTCCAATTATAAAGAAGGTTTACAATTATAACAGTAAGTTAACATATAATAAAAATATTTTATTAAACATAATAAAATTAGTTATTTAAGATCACGTAAGGATCATACAATGAAAATGTTAAAAAAATTTAACCAAATAAATTAAACTAGAGATAAATACGAATAGATCTGATTGCATCGATAAACGAACCACAAAAATGAATAAAATTATTGAAAGACCATTGACATATCGTAAATTATAATCGAGCTATGTGAAAAATACTATCTACGAACGCAAATCGCATATCCAAATTCAATCCGATTATTCAAAGCAGTGAAGATCATCATAATAATAAATAAACACCATCTTGATCCGTCGTTGCGATGTCAAATCCAACCTTGAAAAAATAAACGAAAACAACAGTAAAATAATCGAAATCGTATCATAAAAATAGAGGAAAAAAAATATCAGCAAGACAGAAAAATACGTGCCAGAAAGACAAAATTATTCAAAATAAAAAACAAAGATACGATATAATAATAAAAATATTATTGTATAGTAATTTTATTTTTTGCATTAAATTAAGTCTATATGTTCCATTTTATTAATCCATCCTGCCATGTAGTGATTGTCAAATTTTATGGTTTTTAAAATTAGTTTGTATTGTATGTCCTATCAAAATATTTCTTGGTGCCATTTTCAAAAACTTATATCAAAATATTAGGCCATTTATATAAATCATGCGTTCATCCACGTCATATTGAAATGTAGAGTAAATACATTAAACTTACGATGATTTAATCATAATCTTCACGGCTCTATATCCAACCCAACTACAAGACAACCACAACTATAGAATGCACAATATATATAATAAAACACCCTTGGGGTTTTGGAGATCCATTTTCTTTTCTTCTCTAAGAGGGAGATTCTACTCCACCTTTTATATCCAGAATTTAATCGATCGATAATTCTCTATCTAAATTAAAAGAGTGAATCACAAATTATAAGTTTGATCATTTTCCCTCTCTTTTTTTTTGTTGTCTAAATCATCATAAATAATCACTTTATCAATTGAATATCAATCCTCGTGGCACGATAGAAAATTTTAAAAATGATAATCACAAGTATAACAAATCTCATTAAATATCTAAAATTTTAAAACATTATTTTAATATAATAGGAATGATTCACAACTTTTGTTTTTCCTTTATATTATTCATTTCCTTTTCAATTCATGCACTTTAACATGGGAAAATAATAATTACCATATATCATTTTTATTATTTATTTGTTTATCATCCTACTATTCATGCACTATAAAGATGAGACAATAGACTTATATATTTAGCTATTTTATTCACTTTTAAATGAGCCAAGGGAATCAATGGAATTTCTTTGGGACAATTGGGTCCCCTCTCTCATTTCTAATATAAAAATAATATAAATGTTTTAAATTTAATATAATGTGAATCATTAACATATAAGTCCTTGGAATTGAAAATAAACAAATAAGTCACTGGGTGATGGTGACTTTGCAAGAATTTTTCTAAGATACTTGCTTTGGAACTAAAAAGCTACCTAAAGATGGGCATTTGGGAAACTTTTTTAAAAATAAAATAAAATAAAAAGTGATGGAGATGTTTGAACGTTCATATATTTTTGCAGACATCGTGCTCGAACCAAGAACACGAATAGATGACAATAATTTCTTAACCATTAAGATCACTTGATTTGTATTCAAACATGATATTTTTGGTTTAAATATTACAAAAGATACTAAAAAAATTAATAAACCCTTTATTGAGAACAACATCAAGTCAAACTCTTTAAACTATAAATTATAATTAATTGAGTTATTTTCTTATCGAAACTCCCTACTATCCATTAAGTAATGGTGTGAAGATTAAATTGAAATAAATTATAATATGACTTATTTTGTAAGGGGCTTAATTGAGTGTCATTTTCGATTATGGGCTTAATTGATTTTTAGTATTTTACGATGATCTTTTGAGTATCCAAAAGGTTAAATATCCTCAAAGTCATTGTACTCCTTTTAAAATTGAAATTTGTAGTCTTTTTAAAATTGAAATTTAGTCATCCAGTTTTTATTTTACTTGTCACAATCATTTTTATGTACTTTGTTCAAGCTACTTGTCACAATCATTTTTATTTTACTTTAAAAACAGAAAATATTTTTATTTTACAATTAAAAATTGAAAAGAAATATTCGGCAAAAGAAAAAAAACAAAAGTGATATAAAGATTATGCTAAAGAAAGATGTAGAATTATTATTTTACTTAATTTACTTATCAAAAGAATGGAATCTTTCTCAGTTTAATCTGTTAGGTCAGATTGGTAGAATACTTTTATTATATAAAAAATATTCGACAATATTGATGTTCATTATTTTTAATTTTATTAAATTAATCTATAAACTTTGTAAATTTTATTAATATTATATTTATATTAATATAGGGTGCTTACATGTGGTAGTATATATTTTAAAGACTCTCAATTATTTGATAATGAACACTTAAATACCCTGCAACCTCTGATGTTCGAATCTGAGAAGAATAATAACCAATCCTTTTACTACCGAGGTAATTTAATTCATGCGTATTAATGTTATTTTCCGACTGATGAAAATCGTTTTTATAAATTATATTAAAATTGTACACTTAGTTTGAGCATATCATAACTTATATATACATATATATCGTTTATAACTTGTCCTTAGTAGTATTCTCATTAAGAGGAAAAAGAAAAAAACCGAATTCTCTAGATTTGATGTTTTATCTTACTCTATTATCTAATAATATTTTGAAATGTAGATAAAATACCTCTTAAATCTGCAAATCAACATCATATTTCCTTCACAAATATCATCCCCCAAATACTTGTGTAAGAAGGGAAAGTCACGCGTCAATTACTTAAATTAAAGCTCATTGTTTTATGCATTATCGAAAGGAAAATTAATTTTACAAGTGTTTATATTATATTAAATATATGTTTAAGTAAATTTAAAAATAAATAATAAAATATTTTATATCATTTAAATATTGTTTAGAGAATTATTTTTTTAATTTTCAGATAATAAATTAATAATACTGAATTAAACGGTAAAATACATTAATTATTAGACAAATCCTGTTATGTTGTCATCATTGAAGTTCCCCACCCCCTCCTCCTTCAAACTGTGGACAATTTAGGCTTTATCTGTTAGTTTTTGTTTGGAGCCCAAAATTGCAATGTGGATTCCAAGAATAATAAACGGTAATTCCTTTACGACTTTAATCCTCTGAAGATACATTTCATGTATGGACCAACTCAATTTAAAGTATTTGTACCTTCTTTTTGAAATTCCCCCAACTCAATTTAAATATTTGCATAGGCTTGCTAATAATTGTGATCAAGAAGATGCTTTACTAGTCTAATTGAGATTGGATAGTGTTTTACATTTTTTTAGTATTGTTTAATGAGTGAAATAGACAACTAAGATTAACGGTAGAAAATGAGAATATATTCACCCAAAAAAAGAGTTAATCTACTTTTTATTTTCACTCATCCGACGATCCTAAATTTATGTAAAACTAAAGAATTTATATTGTGTTAGAGAATTTTAATTCGTATATATATAACATTAGCAGGTTTAATTGGTTTTGAGAATTTTATTGTTGCTCCAGTGATTTTCGATCGAATTTTGTTGCTTTTTGTGTGTGATTGTTTTTGTTTCTCTATTTTGGCTAAGTAGTCATTGGATTATTATTCTTCGGCTATTCGTGAAGGAGTTCCTACTGTTCAGCCTCCATCTGCTGTCCTTGAGGATAGTATTTCTAAGTGGAAGTATTGTTTGGTGGGTCAGTTCATTGGGTTTGCTCTGAATTTTAGTTCCATGCAGAGGAGTGTTAAGCTTTTGCGGGGGAAAGTTTTAACCGTAAAGGTTAGTCTTGCTGGATCTAATCACTATGTATTTTCATTTACAAATGTTACGGTTAGATATTAGGTTTTGGGGAACGGACCATGACATATTCAAAATAAACCATTGCTACTTACAAAGTGAGAAGTGTGTATAAAAAAGTTGGTTTTTGATTTGTCGTAAATGCTGATTTGGATGCATTTCTACAATGTGCACCTGGAGCTTTATTCAAATTAAGCAGGGATTGAGTTATATTGCAATTGCTTTGGGACAGTGATGGATCTAGAAACTAAAAAATGACATTCTAAAATTTTAATATCCTATTTTTTGAAAAAAAAATTGAGTATACAAATTTTCTTATTTTTTTCTATTATCATTAACAAATTAAATTTAATTTAACACTTTCTTCAAAATAATGGGTGTGCAATGACTCCCCTAGAGAGCCATATACATCCGCCCCTGCTTTGGGAGTGCCTTTGTATATGGATTCTGTAACTTTCTTAAAGGAGAGGCTCGAATTTAAATTATATTATTACATAAAAGTATAATTGATTATTGTGTTCGAAATAAGAATATTTATAATTTATAAATTATTTGAATTTATATGAGATCATATGTCTCATCTCGACACGCATTCAAAATGATTTAAATATGGAAGAAATAAAAAATTAAATTACACCCGAATAAAATCTAAATAAAAACAAATCTAAACTTTTTTTTAAATCTAGACCCTATTAAAACACAAGAAAATCTGAATCTAAAAATAATCCGACTTGAACATTTTGCAACGGCAGGAACACCTCTAAGCTCAACATCGTTTTCCCTGCTTCATTGGATCACCCATTACCAAAGACAGAGGAAGCAGGCTCTCAGTTTGGGACATAGCTCGGCTGGTCTTGTAGTAAAGGATGCCATAATTTGAACTCAATTTCTTCAACCATCACATTCCACACGTGTTTTTTTTATTCCATGTCTCCTTGGCCTCATCCTAATAGATATTTCAGCTTTTTCACTACCTTGGAAAAAGAAGTATATCCACCAACAATATTGAACATTTCAATTCATCACGTGTATGAAAAGGAAAAAAAGGAGTTTAAAAGACATGTGCCAATTAGGTCTTGCACATGCAAAGATATCCCACTCACTTGAACAAGAATATTAGTTAAACTACACTTCCCTCATTTTGTCTTCCTCTTTTTTGGACATTTTGTGGGGATTAATCCACTTGGGTTCTTTACTCCATGCTCCCTCTTGCCATATCCACTTATTCTCCGTTTTCGTTACCTAATGGTTTGTTTGATCGACTTGTCCCATTTGATTTTCGATTTTATAATTTTGTTCTAGAAGAATTAATAATTTATTGGGATAAAATTGTTTAAGTTGTAGACATGTGATTAAAAGGTAATATATGTTCAAAAATATTTCTTAATTATTGGTAAAATACACATTTTACAGACGTAACTTATAATATAATATCTAATTATTGTCAAGCTTCAGTACACAACTGATAGGAAATTTATGACTCTTTTATATAATCGTAACTTATAATACCTAATTCTCGTCAATTGAATAGACAACACCATTATTGTCTTTGTCTAGTTGTTTTCATTTTTTCTTTCTGGTTTCAAGTAACCTCATCAACTTGATCTAATATGCAGCTTGTAAAAAAAGTTCATAATTTTTTTTAAGTACGGACACATGATTTTATGTTAAGTGTGACTTTTTAGAAGATTATACTAAAATTTTAAGATGTACTAAGTTATAAAATTTGAGAAGGTGTAAAAATGAATTAATAATAAAAAATATAAAACTATTTAAATTATATAAAATTTTAAAATTTATAGAGAACATGACGTTCGATTTATCCATGTTATTGCATGTTAAATTTCAATTATTGTGTTCAATTCTGACAGTGATGTTGATAGAAGGTGGCATCTCTTACAAAAATCTGATAAATAGTTTCATATATGCCATGCACAATACGTCACCAGCCATGCAAACCAAAATCCAATGTGAACAACATGCTAGCTTTGGAGAATCTCTTACTATTTGTGAAAACAATATAAAAATCCTTATTATAAACCGTTAATTATTAAGATTTTTATTTGAATTTATTCCTATTTTAATTTTTATATTAGAATAATAAAAATGTAATAAAAATATTTTTTTTATAAGCAAATTTTTATTATCCAATGAAAAGTTACATCAGAACATCCCAATTTGAGGTATAAAGGCTACTTACAACATAAATATTCAGTCTATACCACAATAATTACATAAATTTACGTTAACATAATCAGTTCTATTGAAGTTTCTATCACTGAGTTTGATTCGAACAAGATCCTTAATGGTTTTTAGGACTTGATCAGGTGATCTTGATTCTCTTATGAAGATTCGTCTATTCCTTTCATCCCAGATCGAGTATATGTAAGCTGTCCAAGAAAGTTTCATAATGGTGTTGAGAAGAGATTTACCTTTCCATTGTTGAGAAGCCCAACAAATCCTTGAATCCCAAGTGTTGTGCGTGTTGTACATATTATTGAGGCTCATGATAGAGTTCCACAGAGAAGTAGCAAAAGAGCAATCAACGAACAAGTAGTTTTTTGTTTCTGCCGACTTGAGACATAGAATACATGAATCATCTGAAGCAATTCCTATTCTAGAGAGTTTGTCCCTAGTAGGAAGACGATCCAAAATAGTCATCCATGAAATAATACTCAATTTAGGGATGTGAAGTGGGAACCATATTATTTTGTGACATGGTACCTTTGCTTTATGGACTCTTATTTCCTCCCATAAGTCTCTGGTCTTCGAAATTCCAGTGCTAAGGATAGGTAGGACTTCGCTCCTTAGTTTAATAAGTTTCCTGGAACACCAGTTATATGAAGAGCTTTCATTGATATCAGTGAAGTTACTGCATTTAATCACATAGCAATGAATCCATGCAACCCATAATAATCATGTTCCTGCAAGAATTTTACGAATGAGATGAACCATGCATGTTTTATTCCATATTTTGAGATCTTTTAAGCCAAGACCGCCTTCGGATTTGGGGAAACATAATTTCTCCCAACCGATTCTGGCTCCTGTAGAAGCCGTATCTGAACCTTTCCAAAGGAATCTGGAGCAGAGTTGGTCTATTCGTTTAAGAACTTTATGCGGCAGTAAAAACTATCTAGACCAATAGTTAACGACACTGTGTAGGACAGTTTTAATCAGCTCTAGTCTTCCTGCATAACTAAGTAATTTCCCATACCATTGATGAAGCCTATGTTTGATATTATCAATAAGAGGCAGACAATCTTTTTCTGTTAACTTTCTAGTAACAAGAGGAACACCAAGGTATCTAACATGTAGGTAACCATGTTTGAAACCTGTAGCAGATTTGATGTTATCCAGGTTTCTAGATGAAATACCAACAGAAAACAATTCTGTCTTGCATATGTTTAGCTTTAAGCCAGACAGATCATAGAAGTGATTAAGGACAGTCATGACACCAACAATTGAATCAAGGTTTTCTTTGCAAAAAATTAAGAGATCATCTGCAAAAGATAAGTGAGTAATGCCAATTTTTTTGCACTTAGGGTGATAGCCAAATATTCCTTTGTTGGCAGCAATTTTAAGTAAATTTGAGAGAATATTCATCGCAAGTACAAATAAGATTGGTGATAAGGGATCACGTTGTCTTATGCCTCTTTGACCCTTAAAGTAGCTTATCAAACTCCCATTGAAGGAGATGGAATACCTAGCTTCTGTGAAACAAGCTTCGATCCACTTTATAAACGTTAGTGGCAACCCTATTGCATTAAGAACAGAAGAAAGAAAGTTCCAGTGAAGAGAAAAAAGGCTTTTTGAAGGTCAATTTTTAGGGCACACATAGGAGAAATGTTTTTTCTACCATAACCTTTCACCAATTCTTGGGCAAGGAGAGTGTCGTCGATTATCGATCTGCCTTTCAAAAAAGCTGTTTGATTTAGAGATATAAGATCAGGCAACAGTAAATTCAATCTTTTGGCAAGAATTTTAGTATAATAATTTTCACATACAATCATAAAATAAAATTGGTTGGTCCGGTTTATTTATTTATTTAATTTTAGTCTATGGTAATTATAAGATAATATTTGTTTTATGTAAATACAAGTGTAAATACAATTGCTCAAACTTAAATCTTCTATATGAAAATTAATATTCTCTTTCACTATTAAGACCACTCATTATATTATTTATGTATAGATCTAACCTGACAGAGACATGCACATGCTGTACATGTGTTCGAGAAAACGACTATGTACTTCCCTTTTCAATTCAAGATGTAAATAAATATCAACCTTTCATAGTTGACTTCAAGCTAAGATATTTTTATTCTATAATGTTTTTATTACATGATTAAGGATGTAAGATATTTAAATACGATAAAAAAAAATCAAATGGATGATAACTGAATCTAGTTATATTCCACTAACACCGTGATAATTGAGTTTCCATAATCAGCATAAAATTGATTAATATACAAACCTAAATCGGTCTCTTTCATGGGAAAAAAAGATTAGTGGCGACAAAGCAATAAGCAAAAAACAAACATTTACATCTGATTCTTCAGGTATGTATGTTTAATGACTAAAAAAGATTATGAATAAATATTCTCTTATAATCACCTAGACTATTAAAAAATAAAATTTAAATTTATCTTATTAAATTATCATATTTTAATTTATTTTGTTTCCATTGTTTTTAGAACCTAAATACTTATCACATCATTTATAATTTTAACTAATGAAATAGTCTATTTCGATCTTTTATGTTATCAATTTTATTTTAAAATTTCAGCATTTGATGATTCGATGAAACAGATTCATATAATAAATTTTCTACAGATATAATATAAAAAATTGATTTTAACATTTGATTAAATAATTATTTTGGCATCTATATTTTAGAGTTTTTTTATCGTAAATGTTTCATTTTAAGATAAAAAGATCTTAATATTTGACTAAATAGTCACTTTAGCTCTTATTCTTTTTAGAATATGTTGGCTCTCAACTTTTCATTTAGGACAAAAAGACCCCTATTTTAGAGTGGCGATCGTTTGTTAACTAACGATTTGTATTCATGGAGGGATCTTTTTATCTTAAAATGAAATGTTGGGGCTAATATACTCCCAAAAAAAATAAGGACCAAAACGATTATTTAATCAAACATTATTCTCTATATCTTCAACATTTGGTCAGTAGGGTTGGGTCCGCATGTGCAAAAGGATCACTTTTGGCCACCAAGTCATTGGCCTTCAGGGACTCCTTTTCCCAATCCGTCTTGAAAACCACCGTTAAGATAGAGACCACACATGCAATCTGAGCCGCTAACAGCCCGTAACAGAGCCCCACGAACCCTAGTCCCCAAACAAAGCCCAGCACCACAGCCAAGGGTGCACCCACCATGTAGAACGAGTAGAAGTTTATGGTCGCGCCAATCCCTGGCCTAGCACTGCCTCTTAATATCCCACAGCTCGTGGTTTGTGGACAATTGGCTAACTCACATAGCCCAATTATGGGTAATACCGTCATGGTTAGCTCCAGAACTTGGTTATCTTTGGTGAAAACTCTTCCCCATGCTTGTCTCCCCAATATGGTCCCTATCAATCCGAAAAACGAGGTCACTAAGGCTAGCCCTATGGCCACCATGGCCGCCAGTTTCGCCCTGGTCGGCCTCCCCGCACCGAGCTCGTTCCCGACTCGGGTCGATGCTGACGCGCTGAGCGCCGTTGGCAACGTGTACATTAGAGATGTTGTCTGTATCACGATAGCCGACGTTGCGAGCCCCACACTGGGTTCGGATAAGTTCCCGGTTAGGATCGTCATGAATTCGTACCACCACCACTCTAGGCAAACCGAGATGCAGCTCGGTATCGAAAGTCGAAGTAGAACTCCCCATTCTCTCCCCATTAGAGCTGTTGAAGACGGAGGAGGTGACAATGGCATGAGTACTGACTCGTCTGAGTCCGTTGACGTAGTACTTCGATTATAGAACATGTAACATAGAAGGAAGAAAAGGGTGTTGAAACTGGTGATGAAGGTGGAAATAGCGATCCCGGGGACTCCTAAACGTAAGTAGAAAGTTAAAACGATCGTGATCGGGAGATGAAATACGGTCGAAAAAAAGGCCGACCACATTAAAGGCCAAGTCATTCCCTTGCTACGCAAGTAAATACGTAAAGGTTGAAGAAGGCTATTGGCTATAAGGTCCGGGATCGCAAACCGGCAATAAAGGCTCGCAACTTTCGTTATACCGGAGTCTTGATTGATGCTAAGCATGATAGGTTCAAGGTTAATCCATATCAATCCGATTGGCACCGAAGCGAATAGCAACATCATAATCGTTCTCCGTAAAGTGAGTGATGCGACCAACAAGTTCTTCGAACCGAAAGCCTGACCACAAAGCGACTCCATGCCGGTGGCTAGACCCGATAAGACTGAGTAGCCGCTAATATTGGTGAACCCAATCGCCAATGCTCCGCCGGCAAGCTCGAGGCTACCTAGTCTGCCCATGCACACCACTAGGATCATGTTCTTCAAGTAACCCACCAAGCTCATTGCTGCTATTGGGAAGCCTATATCTGTTATTCTCTTAAGCTCTTCCATCAACTAAATAGGACATGGAAAACAAAACACAAGTCAGTAACTCGGAGAAATTAAGCTTAGGAAAAGGAAATGAAAAGTGTGTCGTAAGATTTTTATACCTCTGCCAATGTCGGGTACTTTTGATGAACTTCGACCATGTCTTTTTATTTCGTGTTTTATCCAGTGTGTAACTGTAAGCCAATATGACACCAAAAGTTTTTGCCGTGAATCAAACAAGCAGTGATTTAAGTGAGCTTGGAAACTAGAACGTGGATGGGGAAATGTGTGGGATTTTACGCTTTTTTATAATGCTCCTAGTTAGGTAAGCTGTGGGGCATACCGCTCTATATTCATTCAATACTTGTTTTTGACCCCTATTCTATAGTTAAATAATCGATTGGGTACTTAAACGTATTCTTTTTATCATTTTGAATATTTTACATGTAACACTCTAATTTTGGACTCCGTAGTTATTGATAGTTAAAGATGGTTAACTGGTAATCAGGTCAATTTCTAAAAAGTCGTTTTTTAAATTAAATCGGAAATATTTTTGGAAAAGTAAATCTCAAAAAATTATAAGTAATTTGAAGTTAAAATTATTATTATTAAGTGTTAATTTGAGTTATAAACATATATTATAAGTCTTAATTTGTAAAATTTGAGAAGATAAACTAAAAACTAAAATTGTATTTTTAAATTAATTTTTAATTATAAATATAATAACACTTTTGAGTATTGTGCATATGAATGTTAATAAGCATGATATTCATATATAGAATAAGGATGGTATGTCATATGTTATTAATTAGGTTAGAGAAAATACACAAACTCTTGATGAATGGCTAGGGAAAATATATATATATATATATATATATATATTACCTAATGTTTGTATGTTTATATATGATTTGCATGTTTACGTTAACAACACTTATAAAACATAATACAGTATATGCGTACTACTTAACATTTTTAGTTTAGTATTCGAATTATCTTTGTCCGTAAATTACAGGTTGTATAGATTGTGATGGGACAAGATTATCAAAGGAGTCTCAATAGGATTACCCGAGTACACTAAATGAATACTTAGGTGGGTATGTAAGAATTATTTTTGATATTAAGTTAACTTGTAATTTATTATTAAAGTAGTTTTCAAAATTAAAGAAGTTTGGAATTTTGTACAACTGTCTTAATTTTAAATTTTAGTTTGTATCGTTTAAAAAATTATTAGTTATTTTGATGATCGAGTGTGACACTCGTAGACTTGTTGGAGGTCACTCATCGAGTTGATACGATCTATATATATATGGTTGAGTGTTTGTATATGATTTGGATGTGTTTGAAAAGCTGAGAAACGAAAGTAGGGAGTTGCCTATACTGCAATTGTAGATGGTCTATACAAGTGAAGATTAGGCATTGAAACCTTATTTTAAGCGTGCGATATTAGGAAGCATGTGTTCCAAACCCAGTCAGCGTTTGTCATTTTCCCCAGAAAATAGAAACATATCCACATCCCATCGCCTAAACTCAACCAACCTTTGTTAACTTTACCCCAATTTTCTATCCTCACGTTCCCAATATTCAAGTTTTGGTGCCTGTCATTTTTATCATATCACTCAAATTTGGATCATATTTTCAAAAAATAATTATCTTAAAATAACGAATTCGAGTCGAAATTTATTGGGTTATATTAATTTTTATCATAACTTTAAAATGGATTTACTTTTAATTAAATTATTTTTAAAGTAACAGTTGAGGAGATGATTGCAACTACAAGCAAGAAGAAAATTACATAAAAAAATGGGGTCGTTTGACCAAGAAATAATTATTAAATTAAATAATTCAAAATTAAGAATATATCTGTTGCTCATATTGTGACGCGTGTCACCATTTGATTGGGTAGAAATTTTATTAAAATAAACTACAACTATGACTAAATACACTTAAATAGCTAGGTGGTCTTATTGATAAAATTAAAAAAATGATGGTCAAAATGAACATAGACAATAATTAAATGGCCATAAGTATAGTTTACCAACACATATCGACTCCTGATATCAGTGGTGGATCCACGTTTAACTCAAGGTGATAAAATATGATTTTTCTTCTACTAGTTATTTATTTTATTAATTGTATATACCCTAAAATATGAATTTCCTTTTATCTTCAATAGATTTTGTGTTGTAAATATACGAGTGTTAACCTTAAAAAAAAATCTGATCCGTTATTGCATGAGGTTAGAACATGGACATCGAAGACAGGAGCCCTCATCAGATACGTCAGAAGAAAAAACCGAGGACGAAAGGAAAGAGAAAAGGTGGACGAGGATAGTCGGACGGCTCTCAATGACACTGAAATAATCGGAAAGCGTCGAAATGAGAGCAAAAAAGGGTTTTAAAAGAGACGTTATTGGACAGGCACTATCACCAATATATGTGTGTGTGCAGATGACATAGTACATATGGTGTACATTGAAAGCAAATTGAAAGCCCGAATTGGGAACATGTGCATATGTCTCAAAACATCCAAAAAAACAAAGGCTTCCACGTTCAGAATAGGAGCCACGCTCCTTGTCTATTAAACCTACCCTTTCTTTTTCTTTTCTTTCTTCTTCCTCTATACATGGAAGGTGGACCTGTTCAAAGGTCACGGTACACTTACAAGTGTTTCATAATTGAAATTTTAGATGTTGAGGTCAATGTGACTAGTCTTACAATCCATAAACTACCCTATACTTTTTTATTTATTTGTTTTTGGACTCTGGTTTTTTAATGATAGATTAAATATACAAAGGGTCATTTCATTATGTTAAAATGATATTTATGATCATAGAAGTTTTTAGAAGTTATAATATGATCATTAAATTTATTAAAGTATTATAAAATAATCATCGCATGATAACATAATTTAATTAATATCCGTGTACTTTACCCAATTATACATAATCATGTCGTAATTATAAGTTTTATTTGTTTTCTCTAATGTTTTAGAAAAGCAAGGTTTGAAGGAATTAATTAGATCAAACTTCAAACATTGAACTGTAAGGAAAGCAGGGGATTGTCACACTCGGATAAAACCATGCATGTGGTAGCCCTAGATGGGCTTCAGAGGACCATTATTACCCTCACTTTCAGCGATTGTGTCCACAAAATGCAATATTTCAATCAATGCTCTCTTTTTCCTTTGGTAGTGTTATCTGATTGGATTAGATTAGACTTCAGTGGCAAAAGAAAAGAGATAGTGGAAGAGATCAGCCAATATTTATAATGAAGGGACCGTTGATATCTAATCTATTAATTGATTAATTTAAATTTGTTTTTGTAGAAACTCATTATGGGGGCGACCTTCTTAATCCAATTTGTTTCATTCACAATCGTGAGAATTTGAATTCCAGACCTTGCTTAATAAATCTAGTATCTCATCTCAATAGATCAACTATTTTTTATTAGTGATGATGTAATTTTATACACTCAAATTATAATTAAATTAAATTTATTAATTTGATATCTTATTCCCTCTTCCTCATTTCTTATAGGTTAAATTTATTAAATTAGAATTAGAATTAGAATTATAATTAAATTAATAAAATATATAAATAATAAGAATCAAATATGTAATTATATTAATTTACTTAACTATTACTCTAACATTTTCATTAACACAATCAGTGATTTAATTGATACTATTTAATTATTTTTTAATTAGTCTGGAGTGATTACAATAAAATCAGTTTTAAAGACTCAACTATTTGATAAAATCGGATTGATAAAATTTAAATAAAACCTACTCCGTAATTAAGTGTAAATAAAATTCAAAACATGTTTTAAAAAGAACATAGAATAATCTTTTACGGTTATTGTCAGTAACCGCCACCGTCAGTAACCACTATCGAAATCCAACGGCCTAGTTTAATCTTAACAACTCGTGTCAAAACCCAGTACAAGTGATAAATAACCCTTGCAATAACTGTCATCACTTACCTTCCTCAAGAAAAGAGCCCAATGGCAATGGCAACAATCATTTGAATTTCCTCAATCATGGCGCCAAATTTCACTTAATTTTAATTTCGACCCTAACATTATTCTCATTTTCTTTGCAGGTATTCACATAAATACTACTATATTTTCAAACTTAAATTATTGTATTTAGTACGATGTTATTACATGTTTTAGATGAAGCAATAATACTAAAGTTTGCATTCAGTTGGTTGGATGACAAGGATGCATTCAAAGCTGGGGAAACTGAACTATCAAAATCAAAGTTATAGCGAATTTCGATAGTAAAGCAAATGCTTCCCTGGATAGAACTTCTTTTAATCCCTTGATTACAGTGAACAGGAAGGCAGGGAATAGTTCTTACATATCTGGTGTTTTTCTAGACATCAATGGCGATCCAAGTACTTGGCAGATTGCCTTTGTTTTAATCCTTGCAGGCTTATTAAATGTCATCATCAATGATGACCCTTTCAAAGTCATGGATTCATCTCTTCATTTCACTGTTGAACCAGATCCAGTGCACCCTTCTGCCAGTGTTGCTTCCTGGTTAGCATTCTGGGATGAATTCGAAGCCGGTTTGACGGCTCTGGTTTTGATTCACCCGAAAGACGCCTTCAGAAATAACGTAACTTCGACGGACAAAGAACCGAGTTCTTATAACATCTCGACGACCGCTCTCCATGAAAATGGCTCCATTTCGAGTTTGCTAAACATAACATCCATGGCTTGGAATGAATTTGGTTATACCATAATGGAGTACATGGTTGTTATAGCAGGAAACTTCCTGTTGAATATCCAAGGAGCAAACCAGACCTTGAATGGCTCTCCATTACCATTCAAGGTAAATCCAGGTGATTTGCTTTGCTTTAATGTTACCCGGACTCGGGTGTAAGTGTTAGATACAAGTTTAACATGTAATCGTAAACTCGATCCGGCTTTTGCAGGACCTTTAGATGACTCCAATTGTGTGGCCAAATGGAGATTTGAATTCAATGCACGGTAAATCTTTTCCAAGATGGAAATACTTATATACCAGCAATATCGATACCGGAACCTTGTTCCGGGATTATATGAATTCGACGCAGATGTTATCGAGGAAGATACGAATTTGTCGATCCCCGTAACAGATTTGCAGTTCGAAGAAGTAGAACCCCGGGTTCAGCTGTTTTCATTCAGCATGTCAAAAGCAGG